AAAGAGAGGCGCTTTACGGCACCTTTTACGACGTCGCGCTGTACGGCAGTTTTACGACAGTCGCGCTTTACGGCACCTTTTACGACAGTCACGCTTTACGGCAGCTTTTACGACAGTCGCGCTTTATGACAATTTTACGACAGTCGCGCTTTATGACAATTTTACGACAGTCGCGCTTTACGGCCGTATTTACGACAGTCGCGCTTTACGGCACCTTTTACGACAGTTTTACGACAGTCGCGCTTTATGGCACCTTTTACGACAGTCGCGCTTTACGGCAGTTTTACGACAGTTTTACGACAGTCGCGCTTTACAGCCGCCTTTACGACAGTCGCGCTTTACGGCCGTCTTTTCGGCAGTCGCGCTTTACGGCCGGCTTTACGACAGTCGCACTTTACGGCACCTTTTACGACAGTCGCGCTTTACGGCACCTTTGGAACGTGACAATCCAGGGGACATCAAACATGACACATGCTTGTGGTGAGGGCCTCGAGGGAAAAAGGCAAAAGGTGTGTGTGCCCCAAAGACACACTAGGTAACACAGCACACTGGACAACACAACATAGACCAGAACTGTTCTGCACTGCCTGCCTGAAAGCTGCCATCAAAAGTAGAGCCTCTCCCTTTAGCTGTCCTAAGAGGCCCTTGGGGAAGATTGCTTTTCCCTCTGCTAATTTTTAAATCTGTCCCAAGAACTCCCCACCTGCTACTCTCCCATCATCCCATCTCCAAGCCATGGCCCTCAACTTATCTTTTGGATGATTGGTGATGTGGATCCACGTTGCACCTGAAATGAGTCTGCCTTGGAGGGCCCCGTGATGGCCTGTTAGCTTCTTGGTTAGCTACAATAAAGAAAACCAAAACCATGCTGGCTGTTGTCCCTCCCTCCCTGCTCTGCCCTGGCAGCTCCAGCCCTGGCACAGGTGGGGCAGAATCCCAACCTGAGGAGCTCCAGAGCAGGAATGGCCCAGCCTGAGCCCAGCACCCTCAGCAGCAGCAGGACCTGGGGACTCCAGCCCTGGCACAGCCCCAGAGGGCTCCATCCCTGCCTTTACCCCCCAAATTCTGCCCCTGGCAGCCCCAGGGGCTCAGTCCCACCGGGCAGCAGGGGAGACACCCAGGAGCCTCTTCCTGCTGCCCCAGAGCAGCTTTTGCTGTGACTCACCGTGCCTCATTCACCACCTCACACTCATTCAATGATTACCTCAGCCCCGCTCTGGGAGGCTTATCTCACACCAAATCCTTCTCAGTGGAGCCCTGAACGCTGATTGTTCCAGAAGGAAAGGGCCCAAAGCTGCCTGTTGGCTGCAGATCAGGGCGAGGGAACACCCTGAGCTCGGCAGGCAGCAAACCCAGGTGCTGTTCCTGCCCAGGCTGGCAGGGAGCTGTCCCAGCTGTGCCAGCTGCCCCTGCCACATCCAGCTGTGCCACATCCATCCCTGCCACATCCAGCTGTGCCACATCCATCCCTGCCACATCCATCCCTGCCACATCCATCCCTGCCACATTCATCCCTGCCACATCCAGCCCTGCCATATTCAGCCCTGCTCTTTGCTTCCCCTGCTCCTGCAGATTAATCTGGGGCTGGAGCCTGTGTCGGGTCTCCCTCATTTCAAACATCATTTATCATACAGGATTATCCTGCAGGGGCTCCTGTGCAGTCAAATTTAATAACATAAACCACTTCAAATCAAATGATTTCTCCTGTGAATTTAAGCCAAACTGACACAGCTGCTTGACACTCCTTATTTGCAGAGCTAAATGAGAGCTGGGTGTGGGATGCTGGATGTCTGCAGCCTCAGAATGTCACAGCTGGAACCAGGGGCAGGGAGAGTCAGGGTGCAGGGGAGCTGGGGCCAATTTACCCCAGGATTTGGGGCAGCCTGGAGGGAAGGGGCAGCAGAGCTGCAACACTGCTCCTCTCACTCAGCTCCCCAAAAGGAACTGGATTTCTGTGCAAAACACCTGCAGGGAAAAGAACCTTAGGGGTCACCTCCATGGGCAGAGGGCTGGGCTGGGGCTGCTGCTCTCCTTGGGGTGGTTCTGGAGGAGAGCCAGGGCCTTTTTGGGTTTCTTGGCTGGAAAACTCCTGGAAATCAGAGCTGGGAGTGCCCCTGAGCCAGGTGGGCACGATCCAGGGCCCAAAAAAGCTCCAGGGTCCCAAACAGCTCCAGTGTCCCTGCCCAGCCCAGGAGCCGCTCCCTGCTGAATCTGTGCTTTCTTGGTGGCTCTGGCAGCAGCTGGCCCGGGCTGGGCACTCAGAGCATCCTCCCCCCTTCCCTCCCTCCCTCCCTCCCTGCACAAGGGCTCCTTGTGCCCCAAGCTGCCTCCGTGCCAGCCCCATCTGGGCCGGGGCATCAGGGAAATGCCAGGGATGTTTGACCTCGGGCAGGGCCGGGCGTGGGCTGGTCTGAGCCACCCCGGGTCCCCAAAGCTCCATTCTGGGACCATGGGCTGGTCTGAGCTGTCCCTGGGTCCCCAAAGCTCCATCCAGGGCTGGCAGGGCTGAGCTGGGACAGGCAGCTCTGGCTCAGCACCGGGCTGCAGTTCCAGCTCTGCTCCAAACCCTCTGTTAGATGATTTCAGCCTCCTCTGGTGCTGCTGCCTCTGCAGAGCATCCTGCTGGAGATGGGGACAGAGGATCCAGGAGAACGTGGGCGATGGGGTCCCACCACAGCAGGAACAAACCCTTGTGTGCAGCCTCCTGCAAAGGGAGGACAAGAGGCTCTTTCAGTCCCAGGACAGCACAAACACAATTTCCCCATTTCCCTGGGATAGGAGAGCTCAGCCACAGGGGCAGAGCTGTGCCAGGGCTGCTGGCAGGCTGCAGCACTGGCAATGAGCCCTGGCTGGGCGCTACTGAGCCCAGAGCCCCCCAGTGCTGCTCCTCTCCCTCCTCCTGCACAGCGTTTGTCTCCAAATTTGGGGAGTTTCCTTCCAGGAGGAAGGACAGAGCTGTGGCTGAAAGCCAGAGCAGTGACCGGCTGCTGCAGGGAGAGCAGTGCCAGAGCCCAGCCCCGGCCAGCAGGGGGAAGGAGGCTCAGCCCAGCCAGGAGGGTGGGAAGGATGCTCAGCCCCATTTAGGAGGGCTAGCACATGCTGGTTATTCACCAAGTGGCACCTGAGCCTCTGGAGAATCCCATTTCATCCCTCAGTGCCTGGTCCTGGCAAAATAAAGAACACATTAATTGGTTTTGGTGATTTTGCAAAAGTTAATGGTGAATTTAACATGAGTTTTCAAGTTTCCCTGGTGGCTGCAGGATGCTCACATCAGCCACTGCAATGGCAGGAATGCAGCTCAGAGCCAGCAGAACAAACCTGCATTTGAGCAGCCTGGGAAACCTCCCTGTCACTCCCCAGAACCTGCAATTAAACCTTCCCAGGACCTGTGGGACCATTCCACCCACACTGGGACCATTCCATCCAACCCACACGGGAAGGAGGGGAAAACATCACTTCAGATAACCTTTAGAAAACACTAAAATGACGAACCCAGGCTGGAGTGAGAGCTGCACATTGCAGAGATGGCCAGGACTGTCTGGGGGAATTGTGCACAGCTCACAGAGGAGCTGGGTGGCTCCAGGGACATTTTAAATGTGTCCCTTTGCTCTCAGCAAAATGTTCTGTGCTCGGCTGGGTTCTGGTCCAAAGCAGAAGCCTGGGACTTGTGGGAGGATTTTCTTTTCCCCTTTCCTTAGGACACTCTGCAGTTAAGTTGTTTTTAACCAGTGAGACATTAACCACCAAGTGCTTCAGGACCTTCCTGTCTGACCTGGCTCTCCGGGGCAGGACTGCAGCTATTGTGCTAAAATCCATTAAAGAAGAACTTTTATTTTTTACCCAGTGAGAAAACGAGCGGCTCGTGGGAGGCAGAGGGGAAGGAGAGGGGCGGGAAGGCTGCAAATATCCCGAAATGTATATTAGATTTAGTGATGGCAGCGGAGCCTTCCCAGCTCTGTGCCTCTCCCACACTCCCATCTAGCGGCAGCCCGGGCTCGGGAGCGCTCCCCGCCCTCCTCATCCTCATCCTCATCCTCATCCTCATCCTCATCCTCATCCTCATCATCCTCACTCAGCCCATGTGCACCCCATTCTGTGCCCCAATTTATACAGAGACGGGCAGCGATCACCACGTTCACTGAAATTACTTTACTGCTAAAATATTTTACATTTCAGACAGATGCCAACCTGCCAACACGGTGCTTCTGCTCCTCCTGAAAAGGGAGCTGCAGGGGTGCCTTGAAGAGAAGCAGCTGAAGTAATTGTACTGGTCCTAGTGCTTGTCAGGAGCCAGATGTTGTCACACCATCCAGATGTTGTCACACCATCCAGATGTTCGCATCCAGTCCTGTTTGGGCTGCATTAGGAACAGGGCTCTCTAGAATTCACCAGCTGCATCAGAACAGAGTTTTAGAAAATGCTGTTGTTTACAGAGCCTGCTCCCCCTGGTTCCCAGCGATGAGCTCTGTGCCCTGTGCTGACATTTCTGCTCTCGCCCACTTGAGGGGGGCAGGAGCCCCCAGCCCTGGGGGTCCCCAGGAGGGGCTGGGGTCCCTCAGGCTCTGACCTGCACACACAGAGCATGGAGCACCCAGGGGCCTCTTCAGATCCTGCTCCTTGAAACTTTATAAACAGCAGGGATTGAAGAATACAACAAACCCCAAATGAACAGAAAACCCCTTCAGCTGAGCAGGGACCACCAGCCAAAGCCAGGCCTGAAACTCAGGATCATCCTCCAGGGCAGACAGGGCTTGGGATGGAACCAAACTCGTGCACAGCAGAGTCGCTGTGGAAATACCAGAGGAAATACCTGCAGCAGGAGCACCTGTAAAAGGTGAATGGGAAACACAGGAGCTGCCTGCTGTCCTTTGGGAGGGGTGCACTAAATACAGCTCGGGGTATTGGGGGCACCTCAACAAACCTCCTGATCCACCAGGATCCCCCAGAACAGGGAGCAAACCCAAAGGCTGGAAACGGTAACAAAAACACAGAAACAAAAATGAAAATGTACTAAAATTTAATCATTCATAAAAGCTGTAATTTAATCTGTGACAGTAAAACACAAGAAGCAATATTAGAGTTGGTTTAGTATATTATATATTTTTGCTTTTAAAGCCATAGAAATCAGTTATCCCAGTTTTTTTTCCTATAAAAGACCCATTTTTCCAAAGCATTATGCACAAACATTTTTAATTAGAATACAATGGCAGAATGAAAATAATGATATTCCGTAACTTTTAAATATAAAATGAAGTCAATGACTCAAAAAGTTATTTGTTGCAGTGAGTTCAAAGGGAAATTTTTGGATAATATATATCTATAGTTATAGATATAAAATATAACAGTGGAACATTTTTAGTGCTTGATGGGGAGAAATTATGATAAAATGGTCAATATGAATTTTAATTATAGTAGCAATCTCTAACATTTGAAATGCATCCATGCTCCTTGGGATAATCATATGCTAGAGTCAATTATATTTATTTTCACATCTGTTAATTGCTATTGCAAAGGAGGAGGAATATTGGCTTTCATTTCCAAGAGATATACACAGAGCAACTGCTTTTTCCAGGGACTGTGTGCAAACCATTTTTAAGATCTAAATTCTTCCCGCAGGATATAAAAAACAGGAGAAGCTTCTTCCGATATGTTACTCATTTCCATAAGGTTCTGAAGTTGGGAATGCTGGCACTTTCCATTTAGGCAACAGTTCTTCATTCCTGCAATCTGGAGGAAGAAAATAGAAATGAAGATGATGGGGGGGCATTTCTTACTCTGCTGGTGGCACCAGTGACCTCCAGGGCCTGGAAGCCAACAGGCAGCACAGGAGCTGCTTTTTCCCAGAACTCAGGCACAGAAAGCAGGAGAGTGTGGCAGTGTAACTCTCCAAATGCTGTGCTTTATCAGGGCCAGAGCAGTGCCAGCCAAGTGCCAGCCTGCTGCCCCTGCCCGATACCAGCAGTGCCCCATGGCAAAGGCAGGGCTGAACAGCACAGAGCTCACAGCTCAGCACAGAGCACAGCTTAGCTCAGCTCACTGAAATTACGTTATTGCTAAAATAAAGTCATTTCAGTAAATAAAAAATGCAGTTCAGTAAATAAAAAATATAGTTCAGTAAATAAAAAATAAAGTTCAGTGCAGCACAGCACAGCTCTGCTGGCTCCAGGAACCCCCAGAGAGCTGGCAAAGGCAGGAGGCAGAGCAGTGCCAGCACCCAGTGCCCCTCTCTGCCCCAAATGGGGACATTTCTGTCCCAGCCCTGGAGCTGCAGTTCCCTTCCAGAGCAGGACAGAACAGCTGTGAGCACACAGAGCTCCCTGCCAAGACACACAGGAAGATTATTTATAGCTCTGTCCAGTCTTGGTGTGCTTTTTGGTTGGGTTTGTTTGGGGCTTTTTATGCTTGTTTTGGTTTGGGTTGTTTTATTTTTTTATTTCTGTGCCACTGAACCCCATGTCCACCCAAAGCAATTTGCAATTGTCCCCAAGCACAGGCACAGCAGTGGCACCAACATTTAGAGAGAATAACTAGCATTTCTCAGAGGATAAGCAACACTTCTCAGAGGATGAAAAGGAAGCACAAGCCAGCCCTGGAGCTGCTCAGTCACCCCCAGGAGCAGCAGCAGAGGGAAGGGCTCTGCTGGGAGCTCTCTGCTCACCTGGCCCAGGTGGGAGCCAGGCCCCTCTTACCTGGCTCAGAGCTGCTGCATGATGGGAGTCTAAAGCAGCAGACATGATTTCTTTTTAGGCTTCTTCTTTTCCACTGGTGTTTTTCTATTTATCTGTCTGACCAGGTCATAAAAGATCTGCAAATGAAAAGCACAAGCGGTAAAACACAAGCTGTCAGAACTGAGGCAGGCTGGGGAGCTGACAGCTCTCTCCTGGTGGCTGCAGTTATGTAAATTCAATTAAACTGCCTGAATTTATTACACGTTTCTCAAGCAGCTGCTTATGGAGAAGGAAACCCAAAGCTCCCATCAGAACTTAAGGGAGCTGCAAACTCAGTTTATCAGCACCAAAGCCTTCAGAAGGGCAGGGCAGTGAAACGGCAGCAGTTTCCTTGCTTTGGAAAAGTGGGGGAAGCTCGGGATTAACAAAGGGGTTTTTAAGACAGGCACAACACCCTCAGGGGTCAGGAGGGGACAGCCCTGTCCCTGTGCCCTGGCTGGCCCTGAGCCCCCAGTGCCACCAGGGACCACCCCAGGGCCCTCTGCAGCTGCAGAGCCTGGTCAGTGCTGCTGCTGGGAGTTGTTTTCCCAGCAAGACTCAGCCCATTTATAGCAAAATGAGCTTTGCAAAAATGCTTGCAGCTGGGTCACAGCATTGAGGAGAAATATTTCAACCTTCAGAGGGCTCCACCCTTGTCCTTGTTTATTTTTTCCCCTTCCTGGAGTGGCTGACAGCTCACAAATTCTTGTTGATTCCAGAGAAATTCACAAGGCAAAGAAACAGTTTATAACACACTGTAACAACTGAAATCTGAGATTTCCCTTTCTCATAAATTAGATTATTAGGTGCTAGTACTGACTGTGAGTACAGCCATCTGCAACAAGGTTTCAGGAACGGCACCATCCCTAACACGAGTCAGCGTGCTGCAAGAGCATCTCTGAGGTCAGCAGGAGGTCATCTGGATTAAAAACTTATTATCTGAAAGGTTTGGTTCACATGCAGCAAATGCATGTAGGAGTTTATCACTCTTTACCTAGACTTTAACAAATTTAGGAACTCCAAAAGTAGTGAGAAAGCAAGAATAAATCCCAAAAGAATGCAAATGGCTCCCCAGCCCAGGAGGCAGCAGGACAGAGCCCCAGTGCCCTGAGCTGCTTCACTCACAGCTCCTCTCTTTGATTCCCCCAGCTTTTGTACTTTCACAACTGGGAAATATCAGCTGGCAGCAAACCAGAACACGGAGATCACAGGGAGAGCAGGAACTCATCCTCCAGATAAGCACATTGTCCTCTGTGCTGTGGGGGCTGCAGAGGGACAGGCAGGGCCCCCCGAGGGATGGGGGTGGCACCCCAGGACCCCCAGCCATGGGGTGAGGCCTGAGAGGGGCAGTGTGCCCCCCAAAGCTGGCAGTGCTCACAGCCCTGGGGTGTGACACCTCCCTGGGCATCTGCTGAGGGCTGGGCTGCTCCTTGCTGCACCCCAGCCCAGACACACACACAGATAAATCCCTGCTGGCAGCAGCCTGGCTCAGCCCGACTGCTCCTGAGCCCCCAGCCAGGCTGATCCCAGCCCTCCCAGCCCATCCTGAGCCCCCAGCCAGGCCGATCCCAGCCCAGAGCTGCCATTATTCTCAGTTCCTGGGGCTCCCCTCCCTCCAGCCCATCCTGCTGGCTGCCAGGGCAGCTGGGCCCAGGCCAGGATCCTGCAGCTCCTGCTGCTCCCACAGCCCTGCACGGTCCCAGTTATCAGCTGGAAGCGGCCCAGCTCTGCTGCACGGGGTCAGCTCAGCCTCTGTGCCTGCAGACGTGGCCTCTGGCACGGGCAGATAACTGCAGCACACAACAGAGCTGGTGCCTGATGTGGAGCAGAGCTGCCCCAGCCAGCCACGGCCCCAGCAGGAGCACCCAGAGCAGAGGGGTCTCAGTTAAACCCAGGGAACTGCAGGGTCTGGCTTTGGGCATGGCTTTAGCAAGCTGGGGGCTTGCAGGGGCTGTGATGGGGCACCTGCAGCCAGAAATGCAAATATTCCAAACCCAACAGCCAACCCCACACAAGACAGGGAGCACAACAGGGCATCACCCACGGTGGGAATGGCAGCAGTTATTGTGACAAACATTCTCTCCAGATAAAGCTTATCTGAGCTAAAAGACATCCAGCTCTCTCTGCTCATGGCCCCTGGGAGAGGCTGTAAAACACCTCTGAGAGAGCTGGGGAGTCACCCTGGCTGTGCAGGGAAAAGGGAGCCCATCCCTGGGGCAGGCACAGAGCGCCTGGCACACGGCATGGCTGGGAGCACTGCATGGCTGGCACACGGCATGGCTGGCACACGGCATGGCTGGGAGCACTGCATGGCTGGGAGCACTGCATGGCTGGGAACACTGCAGGGCTGGGAGCACTGCATGGCTGGGAACACTGCATGGCTGGCACACGGCATGGCTGGCACACTGCAGGGCTGGCACACGGCATGGCTGGGAGCACTGCATGGCTGGGAGCACTGCATGGCTGGGAGCACTGCAGGGCTGGCACACTGCATGGTTCCCTTCCCAGCTCAGACACACAGGGTTCAATGCCTCATTCATGCTGAGAACACACACACAACAGGAGGTGCTCACCTCATTTACGTTGATTTTCGACTTTGCAGACGATTCTAGAAAGGCACAGTTACACCACTGTCGTGCTAAGTTCTGCCCCTGCTCTTTGCCCACGACTCGTTCTTCCTCCAGGTCACATTTATTGCCAACCAGGATCATGGGAACCTGCACAGGAGCAACAGGGGGAGAAACCCATCAGCAAGGTCGTGTGCAGGCAGCTCTGTGCTGCTGTGGCACTCGGGAATGCAGGGGGGAAATGCAGGGGGGGAAATGCAGAATGGGAAACGCAGAATGGGAAATGCATAATGAACTATGAACCCAATAAAAGCCAGGAGACAATGATGAAGCGGCTCTGCCCCTCTGCAGTGCCTGGCACAGCTGTGGTGTCCCCCAAGGTGTCCCCAGCAGGTACAGGACAAGGTGTCCCAGGCCAGCCTGGACAGGCCTGCAGCTCCCTGGGGCACTGGAGCTGTCCCTGCCCATGGATGAGCTCTGAGGACCTTTCCAACCCACAGGCAAGGAAACAAAACCCCCAGAATCTCTCCCAGCAGCCCAAGTGCCAGTGCCAGGGTGCCAGGAGCTGCCCCAGGGCTGGCACACCTGGGCGATGGCACAGCTCAGAGCAGGGCAGCACAGGCAGTGCCACAGCCCAGCTCCATCTCCTGCTTCCTCACACCCCGGGGCAGCAGAAAATCCCCCAGAAGCTGCTGGTCAGGGAGTGCACCCGCTCCATCTCCGACATTTCACTCTGTGAGCACAAACCCAGTCCTGTCCAGCTGGGAAATAAATCACCACCCCATTCATTTGGTGATTTACAACACACTGTGTGTTTTTAATCTGCTTCAGTGTTAATGTTTGTGGTCTCCTCCTGACACAGCTACACTCAAGATTAATTTTTCTCCTTAAAACTCCCAGCCATACCCATTAGAGAATGATCATATTTTTATTTTTGAGATGTAAATTTTCCTTATTACATCAGGAACCTGAAGCCACAGTACAGATGAAGCAAATGCAAATAAAGCTCATCTGAAATCAGATCTACAGGCTCTATCAGCATACACAGAGCTGTAAATATCCTGTTCTTTAGAGTTTTCTAGACAGTTAAGAGAAAATTTCTCATACTGAAACATGAAAATGTGTTATGAACATGCTCAGCAAAAAACCAAAGTGTATCAAGATGTGAAATAATAGGGCAAAAAGGGATACTGAGATGAGTAAGCAGTACAGGTTTGAAGACGTGAAACTGTGTAAGATCACTGCAGAAGGTATTAAAGGTTTATCCAAAAATGGAGTTTGGTGAGCAACTACCTTTGATCATTTGCTGATAGGTGTAGGAGATTGGAATTTAAACTCTTCCAGATACAGATAATGTAATGATTGATGTGCTGGGACTTTACACATGTTCTGAAAGCTCCCTCAGCATCCCAAGGAGATCCTGTGAAAGCAGCTTTGTGTGTGGACACGCAGCCCTGGTGGCTGGAGAGCAAAGCCCCTTAGGCACCTGCAGGGACCCTCCCAGCCATGCTGTACTCACATCCTCGGTGTCCTTCACCCGCAGGATCTGCTCCCGCAGGTCCTGCAGGTCGTTGAACGTGGACTGTGCTGTGATAGAATATACTAGTGCAAACCCCTGCCCGTTCTTCATGTACAGGTCCCTCATGGCTGTGAATTGCTCCTGCAAGAAAACGGGTTTTACACTAATTAGCCGTTGAATGCAGCTAATGAACAGTTCCAAAGGAATACTGCTATTGTGCTGGAGACAAGAATGCAGTGCCACAGATGGATTTACATATTTACCCCTCACAGAAACCCACTGGAGCATGGAAATTGAATAAAAGCATTAACACTCCCTTTCCTTTTGGTTTGGGTTTTGTTGTTTTTTTTCCCTTTATAAAGGGCTTCTTGGAAAAATGGGGAAAAGATGAAGAGCAGCAGTAAAACCATCTCTGCATGGTGTTATTGACTGAAATGCCAGAGCAGGCTAGACAGTGCCAGCTCAGAGCCCCAGCAGGGCCAGGACTTTTACCAGACCCGCCCAGCAATGATTCCTGCTCCTGCTGCTGAGGATTTCCAGGCTTTCCCAATAAAACCAAATTCCAGGGAGCCCCGGGTGCCTGGGGTGTGCTGGTTTGTTGGGGCAGGGCTGTGCCAGCTGCAGGTGACACTGGAGGGACAGCAGGGCAGTGCCAGGGCAGCTCTGCTGGGGAGCAGCCCCTTGGCTGGCACTGCTGCAGCCCGTGGCAAATTCACATTTCAAACCCTCCCAGAGCAGAAAGCTGACATGGGGATGGCTCAGGAGGCACCAGCCCCTGTGTGTCAGCACTGGGGCAGAGCCCACCAGGCACTGGCACTCACCTCACTGCTGAGGTTATCCAACAAAATCCTTCATTTAAATGACTGCACTCATTGACTGCCTTTGCTTGGGCAGGATTACTGCTCCCAAGGAAGGCAGTGCACAGCAATGAGATACAGAAATGGCACTTACTGTCCCTGCTGTGTCGAGGATCTCCAGCATACACTGCTGACAGTCTACCTCCACTTGCTGCGGAAAGAGAGAACAAAGCTCAGGATGAATGGTTCTGGAAAAGTGATAACAGAAATATGAATAACAACAAGTGGTGACCCCGACGTGATGGTTGGCAGAGATAAGGCAGCCAAGAGCTGTAGAAGAAATGTGGCCTCTGAGTCAAGGAGCTGTGACAGCCAAGAGTTGTAGAAGAATATGGCCTTTGAGCCAGGAGCTGTGTGAGTTGTACGTGGTCTTTGAGTCACGGGAAAATGTATGTACTGTAATGTGGCCTCTGAGTCACAGTAAGAGATATGTATTGTAGAATATGTAAATATGTCCATGTAAAATCTGTTCCTGTAAGTAAAAGAAAAGGGAGATCTATAGTAGAGATGGCCTTTGAGTCCTAGAAAAATATCTGTATTGTACTAAGATATCTGTCAGTAGAAGAAAAGGGGGAAATATCTGAACATTGGCCTTGCCCCAGTAAGTCCCAGTTGCTCTAAATGGGTGGCAGCTGTGATGTCCTTAATTGGGCCGCAGCTGTGGCTGATGAAGGTAACTGGGATAAAAGGGGGTGGGTTAACCCGGCAGGGAGAGCCTTGGAGGAGCCCTGATAGAGCAGCAAGAGCAGCACTGCTGTGAAGAGCTGTGTGTGAGAAAACCCCCCAGAAGGTGTGGGACTCTGGAAATGTGATAACAGCAATATGAACAACAACAAATGGTCTGCACGGGACAGGCAAGAGAAATCCCAGCTCTGGCTGCACCTCTGCACAAAGGGCTCTCAGCAAAGAGCACCTGCAGTGTTGGCAGCTCTGCTCTTAGAGGATTAACCATGCCCCAAGCCAGGCATCTGGGTCAGCTCACATGCTCCAGGACTCCCTTCATTAGCAAGGCTTAAATGAGCAGCTCACTGTAAACATCTCAACTTAAGTGAGATTGGAAATATCTCGACTTAATCCACTCTTGCAAATCAAAGCACCCTAAAACTCGAATTTTTCTTTGCTGCTCAGAGAGAAGGGAGTAAGGAAGAGAAGAAAATGCAAAATATTTCAGGATCCCCAGAGTGAGACTTTGCAAATCTTCCACTCTCTGAGAAATGTCTTGGATCTAAGGAGGCTAATTCCAGGAAAGTCAAGTAAATTTAACAGCAGAACTCACGGCACAATTTAATTTAATTATCACAGGCACAAATGTCACAAGTTTTCAGTGTATGTTTTGGTGCCTTTAATGTGCTGACACTTCTGCTAATCCGTGGAACAATGGCTCACTTGACATCCACGCAGGGAAGAAAGCAGCTCTGTGCCTGGATTATGTAACAGCCCAGGGACCCTGAAAGGACTCTGCCCAGCAGCTCCAGCCCTGCACCCAAAGCAGCCCCAGGAATTCCCTCTGAGAGACTTGGAAGGAATAAAAACAACGGTGCTTTACCTTTCTGTATGAATCTTCTATTGTTGGGTCATATTTCTCAACAAAAATTCCCTGAACAAACTGTACAGTCTGGGGAGGAAGAGAAGAAAAACATCCTGAGCAAGCTGAACACAACCAGAAACATCAGGGAAAAATAACAACACTAAGTCTGCTTTTAAAAGTCAGTAGTGAGGACCAGAGAAAAAGACATAAAATTTCTATTTTGAAAATAAAATTGCCCTGAGTGTGACAATGTGACTGGCATGTGACACTCCTGATCTCTGGTGGACTTCATCTATTATAGGTGAAAAGAAAGGCCAAGGGAGGAGCTGCAGATCTGGGGATGTTTTGGGCTCTGTGTAGATCCAGGACTTTTACAAGTTTCCCTGTTTGGGTGGTGCAGCACAGCTTCAGTTTCCAGCTCCCGGCAAGGCTCTGCACCTCTGGGCGCCCTTGTAAATCCTGTCACCCTCTGCCACCCCAATAGAGTTTCAGCCTCAGAAACGGGATCAAAGTGCTGCACAGGAAACAAAAGCTGCTGAGCAGCTGTGGCTTTGTGACTGTGAGGGTTTCTGCTGCTCCACCAGTGTCACCAGCAGCAGCCTCAGCACTGGGCTGGCACAGAGGAGTTAAACCAAGCAGGGTCTGCAGGGAACAGCCCCAGTTTGTCACTGCAGCCACGCACCCAGGGCTGGACATGAACACCAGGCTCTTTGTTGCACAGGTCAGTCTGTGCAGTTGGGAGAATGAAATTTAAAGTGACCCCCAGATTATTTTAAATCCCACCTTGTAACCTCTCCTTGCCAATGTTTGTAAATAAATACACAGACTCTGTGAAAGCTAAATATCACCCACTCCTAGCTGCTAATTGGCAATTACTGTGTGCTGCTATAAAAATAATGGATCATGAATTACCAAATTCATGCATATGAATTACCAGATATGCTGACTTAGCACCCAGCCTGTCAAAAAGAATTTAACTTTTGTTTACCAGACTATTTGAGTATTTGCATTTCAGCTGATCAAAAGGTCAGGGATGGTGCTGACTCAGGCTTCACATCACAGAGAAGGAAATTCAAGTATGTCAGATGCTGAGTAATTTTTATTTACAGCATGCTACTAAGTTCCCCACTTCACCTAGTGAGTCTTTCAGTGTTACATAAGAAAATTAAGATAATCAGGGAAGTGCTGGTGGCAAAAGCAATACAGATTGCTCACATTGCTGTGGAGGAACAGAGCTTGTAAAAAAATTACACCCTGTAAACACCTTGTAGTGATTAGGGTGGCATTGCTGAAGAGTGCATCAAATTTGATGTACAACTGCGTAATCCCTCCTCCTGCTCACTGGGGTCCTGCAGGTGATTTACCAGGATTATCACCTGGCTGCGGCAGCAGAACAAAAAATGGGGCAGGACACGAGAGCTGCTCAGCCACTATCGTGCCTGTGACAAGGAACACTGCGGTTCTTGCTGCAGATAACTCACACTTGACCAGTTCTTGGCCTGTCTGCTGGAGAGAGCTGCTTGACTGCTGAGTGATAAATGTGTGACAGGAGTCCCTCTCTCAGTGCTCCACTATCAGCCCTGCTGTGTAAAGCTCTCCTGAGAACAGGACAGCACTCCAGCAGAGCAAAGTGCTGCTCCTCCCTCTCTGCAGGGCTGTGGATGCTCCCTGTGAGCCAGCTGCTGCCTCAGGATGGAAACCCAGAGCCCTGGAGGTGTGCAGGGCTGATCCCAGCTCTGGGCTTGGTTCTGTGATTGATTCCAGCCAGGTTTCTCCTGTTGGGCCTGCAATGCTCACAGACACTCAGCACCCGTGCAGGAGGCAGACATGACACGCTAATTAGCAGCAATTAATCACCTCTCTGAAGCATGGCACAGCTCCCCAGCCCTGGCACAGTGGCTAGTGAGGTGCTGGCGCATACAGAAGTGACCCCAGACTCACCAGAGCAGACTTGCCCACACCTCCTGAACCAAGGACCACCAGCTTGTACTCACGCATGGTGTGGGCTGTGCAGAGAGCAGCGACCTGCAGGGCAGAGAGAGGGCAGAGTTAGAGCACAGGGCTGGGGGCTGCCCCGAAACAGCAGCACCCTGCACCTCCTGAGAGTGAGAATGCCTTCACTGCCAGCTTGGGTTTCATCTTCCCGAACACAAGGCTGAGAATGGCACTGTGACAGCCCCAGGTCAGGGGAAATGGCCACAGCTGGGTCCTGCCAGAGAGGAAGAGGATGGACACAGCAGGGACAGACACAGGGGCTGTGCTGGGCACCACGAGCTGCCACTGCCCATCCTCTGCTTCCTCAGCATTCCATGGCCCCAGCCAGAGCACGGGACAGGAAAATGAGATCAGAAAGCAGCAAGTGAAGAGGTTTCCCTCTCCCCTCCACCCCCAGCAGGGAGGGATTTAGGTCAGTGCTTTCTCTCTGGAAAAGGTCAGGCCCAGCACACGGCTGCCAAGGCAGAGCTCTGCTCGCCCAGCACAGACTCTGCCTTTTTATGGAAATCTCGCAACTCCCTCAAGTCACAACGCAGCAGCAGCAGCAAACCGTGCTGCTCCTCGAGATTCCCTGACTAATAAGGCAAATGACAAAGGCAGTGATAAACACTGGCCAAAGTGTTTACAGAGCAGCAGGCTGGGCTGTCCCTGCAGCAAACAATGAGCTCAGCAGCGAGCCCCTTCCGCAGGGCTGAGCTTCCTTCCCAAGTAAGGCTGCACACACACACACACACACACACACACACACACACCAGGCTGGGCAGCCCCAGCCCAGCACTGCAAACCAGCCCTGCCATGGACTGTGGGCTCCCAGACACAGCCCTGGGAAAGGAAAACATCCTCCAAGGGCTTTGGGACAGAAATGCACCAGGAGCCTGTGAAGAACAGGGGTGTATTTTGTGTTTCCAGCTGAATGTCACCCAGGTATGGCTTAAACAAAAACTCAAACATCCCATGGGCAGCTGGAGAGAGACACAGATTTCTGTGATCAGTTCAGCACAACTTTAAACTCATTTTAAGGCAGAATAACAGAAATAAAGGGCTTGCCTGTGCAGTCACAGAGCCAAGGGAAGCTGCCCTTCCCTCCCCAAGCCCTGGGCAGGGAGCAAGGCTCAAGCAATCCGTGCAGCCCCTCACTTTAAACACCTGCAGGAGGTTTTTGTCCAACTCCTGAAGCCCGTGTGAGCTGCAGCTGCCTAACTGCAAACTGTGAAACCAACTCAAACCAAAAGGGGTTTCCCAGAACTGCCCAAAGGCAGAGCAGGCACGGCTGTGCACTCCAGGACACTGACAACAGCTCTGGCTGCATTCTGGGAACTGTGAGCTCTTCTGCTTCACCATTTCCCTGAGAAGTGACATTCACTTCCTTTCTCTCTGAAATCGTGATTTTGAATGGGAAGGACAGGGGAATTCCAATTACCAATTCTTTCCCCCTTGATAATCCCTAGAAATTAAAAGCTGATGCATTTTTTATAAAGCATATATGCAACTTATTGATCCAGGTTGTCACCATTTCCCTACAGTCCCAAAGAAAACCCAGAAAGCAATCAAGCTAAGGGTTAAATTTAGCTGTGAACTATTTCACTTCTTATTTATAGTAGAAAATACTTGTGGGAAAGCTTAAGCTCGGAGCACTACAAGACTAACTTCTCATTTCTTCTCTACAGTATTTGCTGATTTTTTTTTTCAGGTGCAACAGGAAACCAAGATCCTGAAAGGCACGAGCCTTATTACTGTAAACCCCACATGCCTTAATTATCTTGTAGCTCTTTCACAAGTATGTTAATGTTATCTGTTTATACAACATGAATAGAGTGCTCAAGAAATTACTATGCTGCATCCCAGCCAACTTTGCATTTGGCAACTGCTGAAGCCCACCTAAATACAGTGAGACACAGCAGCATTCATTTCCATCCAGAGCTCTCTGGAGCAGTCACATGCTGGGAGGGAACAGCTCCATTTCCAATGGAATTGAGCTATGGCTGTTAAGCGTTCTTTGGAGTCAGGAAAAGGGTATGATCACTAAAGAGTGTAGAAAAATTAACTGCAAATGTTGTGAGACTGGTCTCATTAGTTCAGAATGCTGTAGTGCAAAAATAAAGCAACAGCTGAGTGTGTTCTCCTTGCTCCCTTTGGCCAGTGTCCTGGTTTGAAAAGTGAGTGAGTGTTTTTGGGATGATGTGGTCAAACTGGGACAGCCAAGCACAGCCCCTGAGCTGCAGCAGGACAAACAGGCACAGAGCATGAGTGCCACCCCAGCACTGCCTGAGCTGCAGCCCCTGTGCCACTCCATCACTCTCCAAACCACCTGCATCACCTGCAGGGCAATAAATCACAGGGTTCTGCATCTGTAATCACCAAAAACTCCGCTTCAGACACTTGATCCACCAGAATGCACCTGTGCTCTGCATTCTTTAACAGGAGCATCTCTGCTGCTGCTGGTGCCACCAAAGTGCCCAGGCAGAGACAGAAATGGACTCTCCCCACTCACAGGAGCAGCCCAGCAGCTCACAGAGAAGTGGAGCAGACAGAGGTGAAAATCTGCAGGATATTTGTGTCAGTATCCAGAGGCAGAGCAGGCACACGTCCCTGAGAAGGACCATGGGTGGATCCAAACCCAGCTGGAGCCCAGCCCAAAGTGTGGCTGCTCCCATCAGCCGCCCCTGGCTCACCAGGCCCTGGTGCCCTCTCAGCTGCAGCAGCCAGGGCTGGGCAGGCAGGAAGGAACAAACCCGAGGGTATTTCCCAACAGAGCTGGGGGAGGCCCTGGGGACAGGGGCTGAGGCCACCCAGGACAGAAACCTGACGCAAAAACGAGCTGCTGCTGTTTCTAGAGTTTCAGCAGCTCAGCAAGAAGTTTGTAATTTGGGCAGTGGGGACAGAGAAGCGTGAACCAAACTGAGCAAACACAGCACTGAAAGAGTGAGTGCAAGAGCTTCACTTATCAATTACTCACTCCAACAATGTTCACAGAAATTTCATTTAAAATATGATGACAACACTAAAAATGTCTTACCTTGGCATAAAAGATCTCTCATCAGTGTTAGCAGCTCTACTGAAGGTTCTTCCAGGCTCCCCACAAGGAACTGAAAAAAAGAAGAATAAAAAAAGGAGTTAATAGTTTTTCAAGTGTCAGCATTTGTGAAGCATCTCTGCAGTGCTTAAGCCAAAGCACCCTGTTCCTGTGGACCTCTCCTCCCTGGAACACTCTGAGACTTCACTTACACCAGACAGACTCAAACTAACCATGTCTGAGGTTGCATCAAGTTCTGCAACACCTACACAGCACAATTATTTTAGGGAATCCAGCAGGTTTGTGGCAGGGCTGGAACAAGAGGAGCTTTAAGGTCCCTCCCAACCCAACCCAATCCAACCCATTCTGGGATTCTGGCGCAGTCCTGGACTCCCAGCACAGTCCCGTGCCCAGGATCCCGCTGGCCCCTTGCCCAAGTGCTTGAGAAGCTCCAACATTCCAGTCCCCAATCTTTGTTCAGCAGCCCTGGGCAGCAGCAGAGCTGATATTCAGTGATCACAGCACTGGCTGCACCTGCTGCTCTCACAGGGACAGTCCTGCCTTCAGAGCTCCAGCACTTCATCCTGTCTTTTCAGGGGATTAAAAAAAAGAATCAGTTGCTCCTCTGGAACCATAGGAAGTTTAAATAAAAAACTAGTACTCTGGTTTTCTGTAAATATTCCTTTTTAGCAGCTCTGGAGTCACAGAAATCAAAACTGTCTCAAAGCCGATAACAGAAGCTCTCATAATCCTTGTCAAATATTTTCCCGAGTATAAGAGAAGGTGAGTCTAGAGGGCAGGGTTATTGGGATATTGGGATGAAATCCTTCCCTGGGAGGGTGGCACAGGGTGGGCAGAGCAGCTGGGGCTGCCCTGGATCCCTGGCAGTGCCCACGGCCAGGTTGGAGCAGCCTGGGCACAGTGGAGGGGTCCCTGCCATGCCAGGGGACACTGCAGGGCTCTGAGCTCCCTTCCAGCCCCAATCACTCCGGATTTTCTGTGCAGTGCTGCCAGTGCCAGCTCCAGCACTGCACAGGGCATGGCTCAGCTGCCCCTGCACCCAGAGCACAGCCTGAGCTTAAATGGGGGTGAGAGAAAAGGAACAGAAAGAAGGGAGGCACAGAAAGGAGCAGCACAGAAACCACAGCAGCAGCTCCTAGAGACAGGGTGGGATGACAGGAGGTGCAGCTCCTACAGCT